GCGCAAACTGTTGGCGCTCTATAAATCCTGTGTAATAATAATAATACTAATTCAATTTAATTTTTTTTTTTTTTCAATTTTTTTTTTTTTTTTTTACATGCTTTCACCAGAGCAGTTCGGCGTCACCATAGTAAGAGATAAGATACATGTTCAGAGTGCCGAAGAGGTATCAGTCTCTATTAGAAGGTCAAATGATATGCAATCTATGATTTCTTTATATTTCAATATTTTTATTGAGAAACCGGCATATTATAACAGAGAACAAGATGGCAAACACAAAGAAAAAGAGGGGAGTCCACCCGCATGGTGGGACAAGATGTAGAATCAGAATCAAAACACTTATCGGTATATATATATATAAAAAAAAGAAATTATCAGACAATAGCATTACAATTCGCCCAAAAAGTGTCATAGCCATCAGGACATACTAGTTTCATAAATCAATAAACAATAATTAAACCAAAATGAACCAGAAGTGACAGAGAGAAGAAGAAACAAAAAAATTTTTCACCGAATAGAAAAGGAAAAAAAAGAGAGAAAAACAAAAAGTGAAAGAAAAAAAAAAAAAAAAAAAGAAGGGGGGGGGGGGGGGTCAGCTGCCAAACACTCACGATACAGTGATATAATCAATCCAAGGCTCCCAAGTCCTCTCAAATCTGGGCACATCATCAGTGACAATACTTGTCAGTTTATCATTGACCATTAACCAGTTTAATTTTTGTTTCACTCTTTCCAGCGGGATCAAGGATTGTTTCCAACTTCTAGCTATGGTGATGCGAGCTGCCAGTATTATATATAAAATTAATTTAATCGATTTTTTGGGAATATCAGAGGGTAGTATATTGAACAAGGCCACTTCCGGCGATCTACGGATATTAATTCCCGTCACTGAGAAAAGAAAATTAAACATGCAAATCCAGAATCTACTTACAACTGGACATTTCCACCAGACGTGGAACATGGTACCCTCTTGACCACAGCGTCGAAAACAGCCAGATGAAACAGAAGGATACATTATGGCTAGGCGAGCAGGAACCAAATACTAGCGAAGTAGCGTTTTGTAGTTAGATTCAACAAGATCAGTGTTAATCGAAATCTTCGACAGGGCATGAGCCGCAGCCAGCCAGGTATCTAAATCTAATGAGCTATTTAGATCCCGTTCCCAGAGAGTCATGTAAGATAATTTAGTGAGGGGATCAACCAACAAAGCATAAACAATGGACAAGCGACCTCGCATCATCCCACTTGCCCCACAGGAGACCTCATGAGGAGCAAGCGCACAAGGTTATGTGAGTAGTCGAAGCTTGCTATCAATAAAAGAGTGAAGTTGATTATATTTCCCCTCGAGGCATCTCATAAGAAGTCACAAAATACTGAGGAGACCGAGGGCGAACCCCATCAAAATAATCCCCAATACGTAACAACCCCTTATTAATCCACCATTGGAACCTCGCAAAAGAGAGACCCGGGGCAACTATGATTTCTTTTAATGTTTGAGAACATTTTTTGTTTCAGATGATAATTGTTTTTGTTGCCTTTTCCGATCGTAAGTGGTCTTGGTCACTTGTTTTTTTATGTACTGATGCGGTGTGGAATTTGCTCCGGTTTCTGTGCGAATTCTGCACCACATCACAGTTGCATCCCTTTCATGCGAACCGCTGCGGGTGTGTATGTTAAGCTAACAGCACCCCGAAATCGGTCCACAAACGCGGTGCAATGTGCAGAATCGGATTGCATATCTGTGAATACCCATGAGATCTGATTCTAGTGCGGACCAAAAAAAGGGTCCTGCACTTTTTTGTTGCGGAAGCAGTGCGATTTGAGCCATATGAAATGTACGGCTCCAATCGCAGCGCACAGAATTCGCATGTGATTTGCACAGGACTGCAGTGCAGTTTCTGTGCGAATCACATGCGATATACCGCACTGCACAAGTGTGAACCCGGGCTTAGTAAGATTTATTTCTACTGACAGCAGATTTTGCTATATTTATTTTCTTTTTTGTATAGATATGTATATAATTATTTTTTTTGTATATTCTGTATATGGATTTTATGTTTAGTGATTGCAAGACTTTTATAAAAATTGGGTATGCTTAGTCACCCTCAAAAATTCTTCAGTCACCTTCATAGCGCCCTCATCAGTCCACAGTCCAATTTGCAATTTAATTTTTTATATATATTTCTATATATATAGCTGCTTATCCCAGTTGCCCTGGTAATCCGCGATAAGGCTCCATTCACAATTATGTGACTTGTCATGCGACTTTTGGGTCCAAAGTCGCATGACAAGTCACCACCCCTCATGTTTCCCAATGGGTACCATTCATATCTGTGCAAATTCAAGTTGCAGCGACTTCAAAGTAGTTCCTGCACTACTTTGGTCTGATTTTCATGCGACTTGAGGGTCATAGACCTCAATGTAAACCCTCCAAAGTCACATGAAAGTCGCACCTGAATGTTGTACAAGCGACATGTGTGTGACTTTGTACAGCAGAAACAATTATCTTTAGTCAAAGCCAAAGTTGCACTTATATATTGGGGGGGGGCCTCTGATGTAATGGGGGACCTCTGATGTAATGGGGAGCTTCTAATGTAATGGAGGAACTGATGATGTGGTGGGGGGACACTGATATGATTGGAAAGACCTTGGTCATAATGAGGGGACACTGATATAAGGGGGGGGGGGGACCTCTGATATGATAGGGAGCTTCTTATGTGATGGAGGGGCTGATGATGTGGTGGGGGACACTGATGTAATTGGGGTGACCTTGGACACAATGGGGGGGCACTGATGTGAAAGGGAACCTGATGAGATGGAGGGCTTCTGATGTGATTGGGCACTACTGATGTTACAGTTTATCCTTGTGAAGGTGGGGTTTACGTGCAAAAGAAAGCACTCTGATGTAATGGGGTGCTTCTAATGTGATGGAGAAACTGATGATATGGGGGGGAAACGGATGTGATTGGGATTGCCTTGGTCATAATGGGGGGGGGGGGGGGGCACTTATATAATGGGGGGACCACTGATGTAATGGGGGGACCGCTGATGTAATGGGGGGACCTCTGATGTGATGGGGGGTCCTCTGATGTAATGGGAAGCTTCTGATGTGATGGAGGGACTGATGATGTGGTGGGGGGACACTGATATGATTGTGATGATCTTGGTCATAATAGGGGGGAGCACTGATGTAATGGGGGGGACCTCTGATATGATGGAGAGCTTCTTATGTGATGGAGGGACTGATGATGTGGTGGGGGGACACTGATATGATTGGAATTACCTTGGTCATAATGGGGGGGCACTTATAAAATGGAGGGGACCTCTGATGTAATGGGGGGACCTCTGATGTAATGGGGGGGACCTCTGATATGACGGGGAGCTTCTTCTAATTTGATGAAGGAACTGCTGATGTTACAGTTTACCTTTGCAAAGGTGGTGTTTACGTGCAAATGAAAGTACCTTGATGTGATGGGGGACCTCTGATGTAATGGGGAGCTTATGATGTGATGGAGAGACTGATGATATGGTGGGGGGACACTGATGTCCTTGGGGTAACCCTGGAGATAATGGGATAATGGGGAGGTACTGATGAGATGGGGGGCTTCTGATGTGCTGTGGTGGCCTCTGAAATGATGGAACTTTTAATGTGATAGGGGGGACCTCTGATGTGATAGGAGGCTATTGATGTGATGGTGGGGTATGAGTGTTAGGCCCATTAGGTCCTTATAATGAAAGTCCTGACAGCAGTACAGTGCTTCACCTTTCCCAGGAGTCCTGAGTCTGGAAGGAACCAGCCAGAGCTGTGCATTAGAAATGTAGGTTGCTGTGGAACAGACAGAAATCCAAAGTGTGAATGCCAATGCAGCAGGATGCTGAGAATATGGCAGCCTGAGGGACCAGCCAGAGGGACCACTCAGAGGTCTAAGCAATGGTGCTGTGAAGGAAAGCCCTAAAACCATTTTTTGTATTTGAAGTGATGGTGGGAACCTCTGTGTGTGAACTCCTGTAATGAACTTTATTTTCTTTACTTAAGAAAAGTGGACTAACCATATTTCTGAAACTATATTTCTGGTTTGGAGTGAACTCACTGGGAAGCGCTAGACTTGACCAATCCACCAGACATAACCATGATTTTAGGCCCAGGAACTGTGTATGCTCTGGGCTGAAGAGCCATAAAAAATGCATTGTGTACCAGGGAGACGCCCCTTAACAAGATGGAGATCCAATGCTAAAAACGGAGAAAAAGCACTTAGTGTGTAACAGGTGGTGTGTACCTGCAGAAGGAACAGATTCTGTGGCTGGAGGGGGTGCGTCTCCACCTATGTAAGTCCCATGGATGGCCAAGAGTGTGCTACTGTTTGCATCTGAGGTGGAATGGTGCCAACGCGTGCTGTCAGCAGTCACCCTGGCTATGGAGGAAGGTGGTCCAGCTCTCAATGCTGGGCAAGAACTGGTGTCTATCCATACCTTGCAGAAGCAAGATGTTGCCTCTGGCAACCCACATGCATGTGTGCCATGGTGAGAGACTGAGCAAAGGTGAGGATGGAATGTGGACGCCCATAGCAAAGCCTTTAAGACCAGTCATGCTGTCCAAGTGCTACAGATGGTGCCCATCAATGGTTGTGGCAAGTCTTAAGAGGCATCACAAAGAGTGGCTGCAGATGGTTTGGAAGAGTCAGCGGACTTCAGCTGGGAGAATTCTGTCTTAACAAGGAGAGAAGGTGCCTCAGCATCCAGTATATGGCCAGGTCTCTGGTGTAAAAAAGCCTGCTATCACACCTGGTAATGGTAGGGAAAAACCCTATTGAGCTTGTAGAGGATCTCGTCTCATCTCCCATTGATATAGGCAATATTCATACCACTGACAACAGATGAGGAATCAGTCCTGCCACTGTGTCCATGGGAGGAATAGTGAACCATCATTTGACAGACCTTAAATCTTGGAACACTATTCCTTCCACTGACAAACGATGGGGCACAATTCCTCTGCCAACTATGGGGCACTATTCCTCCCACTGACACCAATGATAGAACTAGTTCTCCTAACCAGACATTTACTGACTGAGGCATTTTCTACTCCTACTAGTCAGTCCTGCCCCCCAAAAATCTGAAGAACCATACATTGGCTCATTTCAGTCGGTCTCCAAATGTGCCAAAACAGTTTTTTTTTTTTTACATTAGTGACTCTGGGATCCTTTTATAATAAATTTCTGAATATCAAGAAGGTAGAGTGCAACTTACTGTGTTTAGAAATTTTAAATGCTCATCTGTTATAAATTACTGATAACAATGTTTATCCTTTTTGAAAGGTAAACTTTAAAACTAATGTGTCATGTGTGGTTTTTTTTTCTTAGTATTTTTTAAATAAAAAAAACCTTCAAAAGTGTTACACTTTCATGTGTAAAAATGGTGAAAAGATTTGCTGTAGCTTTGTATTAACATTACTAGACTACCATTCTGCTAGAGAAGACCTGTTTTTATCAGGGATGGGTCTGTATTGTTCTGTATTTACATTACATGGATTGTGAAGGACCACAGCTGATGTTCTCCAGCATGATGGTGGTTAGATAAGGCCTTTGTCTCAGGTTGGATGCTAATTATTCCTCCTAACCAGGGGTGGACTGACAACGCATGGGGCCCCCAGGAAATAGGGGATCTTGGGGCCCCCTGTCCTTGCCCAAACTCAAAAAAACCTATGAAAAATGGACAGCTCAAAAGGAGCTGCTGTACTATCTGTCAGCACAGCAATCTCCCCTGCTGTGCTGAGAGCACTGATTGGGAGCTGATTGGCAGACCTTTTACAGGTCATGCACCTGACAAGCTGACTGCCAGTTTGTCGGACCGGCTTCCATAGACAAGGGCTGAATGTCAGCTAATTTCTATTGAACCAGTCCATGCCGCTCAACATTTGGCCTGCGTACTAGGCTTTGGGAGAGTTTTAGAATACAAATAGTTGGTTGCTTGATTAAATTAAAAAAAAAAAAAACCTAACAATTCTTTTCCTCTTTATCCTAGTAATTTATTACACTTCCAGGTATGTAGCTCAAAGAGTAAAGTCTAGATGGTTCAAATCTCAGCCAGTCCCTGCTGAACCAGTCAAGATTTCAACCATGTATGGGCAGGCTGAATCAACCCAAGTTGATCAAACTTTTGGTAGAACCAGCCTGTTGAGTTTTACATGCAATTATTGCTGCTGGTTACTATAACTGCTAGTAATCTCTCTTCTCTGGGTGTTTTGTGATTTCTAATAAAGTTGTGTTTTCATATATCTTTTTTGTCATGTTTTTATTGGAAAAATAAATATCTGCACCACAATGGGTCTAGCCCTTCTCTACTCTATCCAATATTTTAGGAAAAAATGTGGGCTATACATATTACTTATTATTAAAATTGCCCTTCTGTTAACATTTAATTAAAAAAACATTAGCAAGGTCCCTGGATGTTTGGATTGGAATTGATTTTTTAACTGTTTATTGAAGCTCTGTATTGTTGCCATATCACTATAACATTACCATGTCTGTACTGAAAATCAGATTTACAACCAGCTGGTCTGTATTGTTTACATCACATAGATTCTGAATGGCCACTCCTGACCCTATGGTAGGTGGTTAGGTGGGGCCATTGACTTTGGCTGGACTCTATTCAAGTCAACCTGACACAGAGCTTACCTCCCAGCTGGAGACTAAACAATGCACTTGGACCTCTCCCAACCAGCCTGGAGCCATTTTTTTTCTGCAGAAAACTTTAAACATTGTAACACAAAGTTTTAAAGAATTGCTTATTTTTGTGTTTTTCATTGCATCAACAAGCTATATTTTTCAAACATTACAGAATACATGATCCATGTTATAATTTTAGAAAACCTGTAATATTATATTTAAAAACCATACCGGCTATATATGCAAAAAACATTAATTTTAGCCTGTCATTGGCCTCCTTTTTTTTTTTTTTCTTTACACAAATGTATTAATTTAGACTGGGAAAAAAAGAAGTCTTAGGCCCCATTCACACTAGGATGTTGTTTTTGACCCTGTGATTTTTTTTCCTCATGATTCAAAAATGTCCTAGTGTGAATGAGGCCTTAAGCTGGCCATACATGGATCAATATTTAGCCAGCAACATTGATCTTTGTTTTCCCCACTGTCAGAACATAATGTACACAGCGGGAAGGATTCCCCCATTTATCCACCTCCAATGTGTGAATAGGGGAATCAGCTCATTTCTTGTTTTAGTTCAAACCAAAACCCAAAAATGAATATAGGGCATGTATGGCCAGTCTTGGTTTCTATGCTAGTGGTCCTCCTCTCAAATTGCAGTATATGGACCAGCATTTGCTCTATTTTTAATAGCCTTGAACTGACCCTTGGGGCACAATCCCTTCCATTGGCCCTAAGGATGGAGCACAATTCCTCCCACTGAGCCCACCACTGATGGGGGTACTATTTTTCCCACTGATCCCTAAATGATGTAGCACAATTCCTCCCACTGATATAATTTATGGGCACTATTCCTCCCACTGTGCCTAACAATATTTATTTATTTATTTCAGGTACTTCTATAGCGCTGTCAATTTACACACATATATATTGAACATTCACATCAGTCCCTAACCCCAAGGGGTGTACAATCTAAGGTCCCTAACTCACATTCATACATACACATATTAGGGCCAATTTAGACAGGATCCAATTAACCTACCAGCAATGTCTTTGGACTGTGCGATCCCACTGAGCACCCAGATGGGAAATTTTCCCCACTGACACACAGGGAGAACATGAAAACTCCATGCAGGAGGCGCCATGGCCGGGATAGAGCATAAATCCTCCCACTGATATTATTGATGGGGCACTATTCTACTCCAGCTGTCCAAACCACTTATGGTGGTACTGATTTCTCCCACTGAACCCAATGATGGAGCACAATTCCACCCACTGATATTATTTATAGGGCACCATTCCTCCCACTGACCCAAAGACAGAGCACAAATCCTCCTCATGACACCATTGATGGGGCACTATTTGCCCTTCCACTGAGCCAACAATTTCAGAGCACAATGGGCCTCTTCATGACAGCATTGATGGGGCACAATTACTCCCACTGATATTATTGATGGGACACTATATCTACAACCATTAAAAAAATTCATGTTTATATCTACCAAAGTCCAAGACAAGACAAGACAAAACTTTATTTTGAAAGTAATTTAAATGCAATTCACACCTTCAGCCATGTACTAGAGTTTTAACAGCATTACTTGCTCCAGACTTTTTGGCTGGGATTGAATAATGCTAATTAGAACACTTCTGAGAGGTAAATGGATATCCCCAAGGAAACTAAGGCTGGCCATACATTATACAATTTTCTTGAGAATTTTGCTTTAGATTTACCAAAAATCATATAATATGAGGTCAAACCTAAACATCACTTTCAATTATATCCAATTAGACAGGGCCTTGCACTACATAGTTGAAGGTAAATCTAAAGGAAATTGGGCAGAAATTGGACAGAAAATTGTATAGATGAATGCTAGATGAATGAAAAAAAAGAAAAGACTCATCTATGGACAGCCAAAGAAAGCAAAAAATAGCCTGATATATGTTCTAACCATTTATTAAGATATATAAAAAATAGCTAAAGTTACAAATTAACTGAAATATGTTTCACCTTCCAACATTGCTTACTAGGAGACCTTCTACATCCTGTGAAATAATTTACAATAGGAACATGGAACATAACGACACAAACACTTCTTTCAGAAAGCAGAAAGGTTTATTGGCAGCAGGATCAGCAAACAGTATTGATATGGAATGGAAGCATTTATAATAAATGGAAACAGTATTGTTCAAATACTAAAAAAACTATAATATACATAATAAAGGAAACTATGGCCAACGTTCAATTTTCAGAACCACGATAATGATGATGAAAGTGCCTCTACAGCCCAAAACTTTGTTTTTGTTAGTTTAGGATGGAGTGGAGAAAGGTTAAACATTGACTTTCATAGGTATTACATTGGTTAAAATTTATTTATAGCTAAAACTATTTTTTTGTTTTGGATGGAGATGCAACAGGAAGTGAGAGGAAATCTCTCCAAAGTGAGCAGAATTTCAAGCAGTTGTCACCAGAACAGGTGTCTGTATTGGAGAAGACTTACATTCATCTCTTTTTCTGGTGGCAACGTTAACATTTTTGGATTTCCCATCACCTCCGATCACCATCACCAAGACAAATAGGAACAGAATCTATAGCTGAGATACAGAAAATGATACAATTTGACAAGGGTTCCAATCCTTTCCTACTTTATCCAAAACTGGAAAAAAAAAATCTTTGCACTCTATCTACACTTTAAATAAAGTCAATAATAAAAAATGAGATGAATTATTTTTAAATGCAATTAAAAAAACATTAACATTTGAACTCTATTATAGTAATTAATTTATAATTCTGATGGAGCTTTTTGGATAAACATAGAAAGCGGCATGGAGGGGCTCAGTGAAGGTGGCAGTGAAGGTGTGGAGGTGTCTGACGGGTTTACACAGCTGGTAGAAGGACAGACGGCCAGAGTCATATTCCAAATAAATCCCAACATTCTTTAGAAACGATTTGGAGTCTATATTTTATCATCAAAGAGTTGTTGTGCCTGAGTTGAAGATTTGAAGGTGTTTGACTCAGGCTCCAGGATTTCTCATTACAGCCAATAAATGATTCATTTCCCCAATCTTCCGATCTATGCTCTCAGAGGCCACCCCTATCAGCCATTCCTCTGCCTCACTTACATCCACTTCCCAGTAATGTGTCCCTGAAGTAAAACTTTGGATACTCAATACTTGGCAACATTTAAACCTTTTAGGACCTTCAGGCCTGTTGACACCAAGGTCAGTATGAACAGCCCTCTTCCTTTTCTTTGATAGTATAATGTTATCATTAGCCGTATTTATGTCCAATAAAATGTCAGATTTCTCCAACTTTAAAAATTGTCTTTTTGCCACCAGATCGCTCAGTTTGTGAGCAAAGATGCAAAGTCCACTT